ATCCATTACAATCCGATTACTTTATAGGGTCATACAAACTGGACAATGTTGATTCTTTCTCTGATCTTGGCGTCATCTTAGATCCTAAACTAAGGTTTCATCTTCATATCGATTCTTGTGTTAATAAAGCCAAATCTTTATAAGGATTCATTATACGCTGGTCTAAAGAGTTTGATGACCCTTATGTTACTAAAAGATTATTTGTTAGTATTGTCCGCCCTGTCCTAGAATATGGTTGCATTCTTTGGAGTCCGTTTTATAAATGTCACTGTGATAAAATTGAGTCAGTTCAAGTTCCGTTTTTAATCTTTGCCTTGCGTGGCCTAAATTGGAACCCATCGGAATTACTTCCACCTTATAAAAGTCGATTATTGTTAAATTATCTTCCAACACTAGAAAAATGACGTTTCATGTTAAGAGCATTATTTATTATTAAATCAACACGTGGTCTGATTGATTCACCTTTTCTTACGGGAGAAATAATTTTTAATGTTCCCTCTCGAAGAACACGTAATTTTGAACCGTTGAAATTGTCCATTGCGAGAACTAATTATAAACTAAACAACCCAATGAGGTCCTTATGTGTAATATATAATAGCATAAGTAATGTTATATACCTAAGTAGTCCATTGCATGCTATCAAGAATTCACTGGGCTTGGAAACAGTAGACCCTGAAATTTGAGAAGTAGTTGCCAATTTTTATATTGTAGCTTTTGTTTACTGTTGTCTGTTTAATGTATGTTAATGTAATGTCTGTTTAATGTATCTAATTCTAATTTATATTCGATGTATTATTACTAATTGCCGGCTGATGATCTGTAGCCGGTGTTATTAAACCTTAGTCCGGTCTTTGGCGTGTACGTGCCCCTGCGTATAGGGAGGTAGCCCCCTCGGTCGGCAGGGGCGGGTGTGAGAGGCGTGGGAACGAACGTAAAAAAAATAATTCCACATCATTACTGGACTTTTTTGCGTTGAGTAATGAAGATACACTTGTTTTATCTAACCAGTTCATTTGTCATGGAATATCCGACCATGCTTTTATATTTCTCTCTCTTAACATCTCCGTTACATGTGTGGACCTATACATTGAGTACATTGTATTACATAATTCAGTGCGTCATGATGTTTTGCATGGTGCCATATCAGCATTCTCTTATGTATAATACGAATAACGTTAATGTTCAATGGGATTGCTTTTATTCATGACTCAATTTGCTTCTCTCTTTTTTCCCTACTAATGCTAACAATGATTGGTATGAGTCCTCTGAAATTTCTTACTACAACTCCATTAGAGATTTAGCATTTAAAGAGTATATGCGCACAAGGATTTTGTGGATTGGAGAAATTTTGCAAGGCCCGTAATAGGGCTAAATCTGTCGTCAGAAAGGCTAAGAGTATTGCATATTCATCACTGTTTGAGGGCCAAAAAAGTAATAAGGATTTGTGGAACATACTTAAGTCAAATACGGGGAATGTAGATGAATTGAACGCTGATTTTTGCTAAGAACCAACTTGATAATCTCAATGTTTTTCTTGTCGATGCATTGGAGTTGGAGGTGGCATTCGCGTCTTTTAATTCAAATACGACTGGGTTGGATTGGTTATCCTTAATTTTTGTTCTTCTTTGTTCACACTTTCTTCATTTGGTTAATACAGTATTAACCTCTTCAATTTTTCCTGTTAGCTGGAAGATAGAGAAGATTGTTCCAGTAAAAAAGAAAAATGTTGTTGTTGCGGCGCATGAGTATCATCCGATTTCGGTGTTACCTATATGTTCCAAGGTAGTTGAACATATTTTAAAGTCCCAGATTACGTCGTATTTGCAGCGCAACAATATGCTTAATTACATTCAATGTGGCTTTAGAAAGGAGTAGTACTGCATCTCTTTTGTTGGGATTGTCTGATTCGATTCGGCCTAATTTTGGTAACACCAAATGTTGTATTTAGTTATCGCTTGACTTGGAAAAGGCTTTCGATCGAGTTGATCACCATAAGTTATTGTTATAGTTGCACTCCCTGTATGAATTTTCACTTAGAGCGTGATCACTTATGTCATCTTATTTATTTGACAGAAAGCAATTGGTGTGTTCTGAGAACAGGTATAGCTCTGTTTTACCCGTTAGAAGTGGTGTTCCGCAGGGTTCGGTTTTAGGGCCACTTCTGTTCATCCTATTTCTTAATGATCTGTGTCTAGAGTTGCAGTTATGGTGTGTACCATATGCATTCGCTGATGATGTCCAGTTGCTTTTTAAAGGAGATTCTCGATTTTGGCCAGTCTTGCACACTTGCACACTATGTTTTTTTTTGCAACATATGTTAATGACTTTGCTTTCGTTAGGTACAATAATACGAGTATTGAATTTGTCTCCGAGATTCTTTGCTTGGGTGTTGTGCTTGATAACAAGCTTTGTTTACACAGTGAACTTAAAAATTTCAGTGTTACTCCCACAAAGTTCTATAAAAAAATTGTTCGCCACCTGCATTGAACTTTGTCATATGTACAACATTTCCTATTGCACTTATTGATGTATGTTAGAATATGTACTTTGCTTTTATAATGAAACTAGCGGGCCCGGCAAACGTTGTCTTGCCTAGCAATATTGTTGATGTATAATTTTCGGCGTTCTACTTATATGATAGTTGATATTGAAAATTTAACATTTGGTTCCCTTTTAAGGGTAGCCTCCATATAACGGTACACCCAATATTCAACATAATTGCTTCTAATTTTATATTAGCTATACTTATTGAGCAGAAAATCTCCCTAATTAATATTTCCCTTAATATTCGGTATTTGACTGAAATTTTTTATTCGCCCAAGCTTCCAAATATCCCTCATATAATTTTTAAATCTTATCGGCAGTAATTTGGTATTTGGTTGTTTTATTTGGTAGAATGAATCGTACTAAAAGTATCTATATTGGTCCACTCTTTGAGGTAGCTCCCATATAACGGTACCCAGTGTGTCAACCAAAGTGGTAGTAATGTTTTATTTGGTCCAAATTTTTTCATAGAGTTGGTCTAAAGTATTAAAAAGGCGCCATACATATTTGAAGTTCTTAACCCTTTTTCTAACCTGAGTGTCGGTACATTATTTTTAAAGAGCATGGCCACCTACTATCACATAGTGTTGTAACATTGTTCCCATATAAATGTCCCGACTGATTTAAGGAATCTACATATTAGGAGATATGAATTTTTCACAGAAAATGGCATCGTATATTAGTTTTCTCTGTGATACACATTTGTGGTATCGGATATATGCGAGGTGTTGTGTTTATGAGTTCAAAGGCATTGACCAACGATTGGGCATATAACCACCATATAATGGTACCACCTGATTTGATATTTCCCGTGCCACAGCAACATTTTAAGTACTTTAAAGAACAACGTGTCCTTATGGAACTATTACTATTCATATTTTAAGAAAAAATGATCTAGGGAATGGATCTTAGAATCAAAACTATTGCGAATATCTTCTGATTTTCATCCTTGCATTTGTCCCAAAATGTACGTGCATTCTATGGACAACGTGCACATACAATGATCGCGTGTACATTAAATGATATATTCTCAATTATTTTTTGAATTTTCACAAAAAACGTTTCAATACAATGTTAATCAAATTGGAAAAAATCAAAATTTTCAATAATTGACAAATGAAGGCTGAAAGGATTGATACGCTATCAATTTTTGCCCAAATATCACAAAATAACAACTACGACGTGGTGCAATCATAATAGCTCGATACTAAATTCGTGGAAATGCAAATATGCTTCATAATATTTTTCGCAAATTTTTTGCGGTTTTTGATTTTTTCTCACCTTTTAAACCTTCCCTGAACCTCCACGAACATTTGAAGACTAAGATAAGAAAAATCCGTTCAGCCGTTCTCGAGTTTTAGCGAGACTAACGAACAGCAACTTTTTTCAAGTCAAAGACAATCCAATTGATTGTAGAAAATTTACATATTTTAGAATTTTCCATAACTGACAATTACATAAAGATATACGCTGTCATTTTCGACCAAAATATGTTCAAAAAGATCTACGAAGAGATGAAACAATAAATGTCCGGTATAAAATGTGTGGAAATGCTAATATCTTTCAAAATATATTTTGCAACATTTTCGCGGATTTTTCTTAAAATGTTCTTTCATTAGAACCTTTCCACTTCAATTACAGACTACTAACAGAAACTTTAAGTCAAATCGGTCCAGCCGTTTCTTTAAAATAATTTTTGCAAGATTTTCGCGGATTTTTCTCAAAATTTTCTTTCATAAAAACCTTCCCACAGTAATTACCGACAACTGAAAACAATTTTGAGTCAAATCGGTCCAGCCGTTCTCAATTGATGCGTTAGTATACATTTTTTGGCTCCATTTTTATATATATAGATATTTATGATTTTATATTCATCAAATATTTTACATTTGTTAATTTTTTAACTTAAATTTGCATACTAGAGTATGTTCTTATATTTGGACATGTTATGAAATGTCCCTTTGTTTGGGTAGTTAAATCATACTGTTTTGCATAATGTACATATTACATTTATTGGTCTAAAGGCTTGGTTATACATATTAAAATTGAAATAAATAAATATATAGGAACTTTAGTACACCATTTACATTAAATCGGACTAAAATATATATGGGAGCTATATCTAAATCTGAACCGATTTTCACGAAACTCAACACACGTCACTCTAGACCTAATTCATTACCCTATGACAAATTTCGTGAAATCGAAAGATATTTAGGGATTTTGGTGAACCATTTACATTAAATCGGACGAAAATATATATGGGAGCTATATCTAAATCTGAACCGATTTTCAGGACACTAAGCACACATCATTCTAGACCTAATGCATTACATTTCTAGACCTACTGCATTACATTATCCACTTTTACCACATTAGCGAAACTTACTCTATTATGATAAATACAAACCTATGTATATATTCAAGTAACACATATCTTTTCATTATCATTCTAGAGTTAAAAAAGCAGATACTCACCTGAGCCGATCTTTAGAAAATGACGCACATTTGGTTATAAATATGTCATCCGTGAAATATGTTCACACTAAGCGGTTCATTATTGAATTACATTTGTTTGTAAAAGAACTCATACAGTTACAATCGGTAAGTATAAATATATAATAATATAAATCTGTAAGATTATGAAATATTAATATACTTAATTTAATTGCAGCCAGTTATGAGTCACCTAAATAATAAAAACACAGGAGAAAAAAATCGTAACAGATCACAAAAAGTTGGCTTGGAAGTGCATGCCGATTCTCCTATTATTCTGCTCCCTGTATCATATAACAGTAATCATATGTTGATCGCAGATCTGGGAAAATTCACTTTACGGAACTGTTTTAAGTTTTCAAATGATCTGCGTGCTTTAAATATGTCGCGAACCACCGAGTCATTATACAACGAAATTATCGACTTAATGAATATTGACTTAGTAAACATTAATCTCCTAACGGGTGAAAGAGAAACAAAAAATATTGGACCCGACACTGGCCAAAATTCAAATATCTTACACGTAGGAAATTTTTGCAAAGTGAAACTTGGAGATACCATATTTAAAGAAAAATGCTATTTAAAAATTCATATTATGAGGAATACCGAATCGGATGTAACCCACAACAGTCCGGATATTAGTGTTAAAGGCACTCTTTCTGAGTTAAATGGGGTTATAAATTTACAACAATATAAATTAATTAGAGGATTTCTTAACTACAACCTGGGCGAAGCCATTGATGACGTATATTACAACTATGAAATGAACTTGAACGAATCACTTGAAATATTGTCATCGATGTCCAAAGTCGATGTCTCGCAAAAAACATCGACTGTATGGAATACACTTTCTATTAGTTTCTTACTTGACAATGTCACAATATATTTGGCCGAGCCGCTCTTAAATTTGAATTGTGAAGCTCAAAACATAAATTTAGCCTGCATAAAATTTATAAAATCAAATCTTGAAATAGACTCCTTCAGCGATGGGTCACAAGATATCGATTTAATATCCAGCGAAATACTTCTTATGGACGCCAGAGAAAATGATTTTGTTTCGTCTGAACGAAATTATTTTAAAAACATTTTAAAACCATCCAATAACAATGTTTCTAAAAATACTGTTCAAGCAGAAATTCATAGTCGCAGAAGGGCTGGCGTTTCCAAGTACACAATTTTGTTTAACAATATGAGGATAATGGCTCTCCTAGATTACCTTAAACGATTAAAGGACTTTTTAAATGAAGAGCCTTATATGTCAACAGCTATAGAAAAAAATGTTAAGTCAAATGTCAGTGTTTCAAATACTACAGATTCTCCTGTTCAACACCATGTCTCTTCAAAGGGGCCAGCGTTGTCCGATGACTCCGCAAAATATGAGTTTGTATTAAATATAACAGATTCTGAAATCGTGTTCGTGGAAAATACCTCTCAACAAGACTCAAATGCAATTATTCTCAAAAGCACAACTGTATTTTCTTATAAACCCAATAGCAGTGTTGTGCCTATATCCATCGATATAAATCATCTAGAAATATTCTCCTGTATTTTGGGGTGCGAAAACGAAAGCTCATTATCAATAATAGATCCTTGTACACTGAACATGGAACTTCGAAATAACTGCTTTCAGATTTCTGTTCAGAATCAAATATTTTTGAGAGTTTCGTATAACGACGTTATGCTTTTTTCTCGTATTATGGAGTCTATACCTAGGCAAACTATAAAAACTGAATCTTCGCACTCAAACGTTGACAATATTACACCGCTGATGACAATGGGCTTTAAACCGGACGATTGTTCACTGGCAATGCAAATAAATAACAACAACATAAATGAAGCGGCAATATGGTTATCCCACCAGAAGTCCAAAAATTCCAACACTGGTATCAAAATAAGCAGCATAACTTTTAATGCGAATTGCTTATCTATTTGTATAATCGATGATTGCTTAGACGCTGATGTCCCGCTCCTGGAGGTTTCCCTAGCACACCTAAAAATAGACCAAAAAATTGATTTATTCAATGACACTCATCTCGTGAAATGCTACGAAGGTAAAATTGAAACAGTAATGTCAAGTAATTATTATAATCGACATTTAAGTGGTTGGGAGCCGATTATTGAAGCTTGGGAAAGTTCTGCTGTTTGGAAATACTCTAAATCTAACGCTGAACATTCGAAGTGTTTGCACATTCAAGTTAATAGCAAACAGATATTGAAGTTTAATATTACTACCACGCTCCTAGAATTATGTGAACTTGTCCGGAAAAACTGGACGCAAGACTATTTTGTTCGGTCAAGCGATAATGAAGGTTTGAGTATTCGAAAAAGACAACCGTTCGTGCCGTTCGCTCTTAAAAATTTAACTGGAGAACCACTCATTTTTAAGACATTCTTCTCACATGCCGGAGGCATTACTCGCACCAACGTGAGACAGCAGGATCTAATGTGTGATTGGATATCTGCACAACACAACGAAACCGTGACGTTCGATTTTGGGCCCCAAAGCAAACTAAGACACTTTGACTCCCACAAATTAAATATGCATCAAATTCTGGTTCAAATACATGGTTGGACACTGATAGGTCCCATCTCGATTGATAAAGTAGGAATATTTTTCCGTTATGCAAACCTCGACATGCAGTATAGTAAGAAGACAAGAATAGTTTTCGAGATATCACTTATTGGTTCAGCACAAAAACTTATAACTGTTCGATCAGCCCTAAACGCTGTGAACAATACTAACAAGCAGTTTTTTCTACATTTAAAGTTACGAAATGAGAATGAAAGCGCCGTAATGTCAGTAAATCCTCAACAGAAAATAAACATACCCTTACGTTATGTGGAGTCGCTCATATACATTAAGCCTTACATAGAAAACGACCCAATGAATAATATATATGAGCAATTAAAAAATGATAAAATAGGTTCCTTCAGGAAATATCAACTGCAACAATTTGAAGAAACTGGATTTTGCACGAGGTCGATATCATGGCTAAACTGTATTACGCAGGATTCTATGCAAGATGTTCATTCGTGTTTTTTACCAAACAAACTCCCATTTTTTGTCATTTCGGAAATAATAAAAGATAAATATCCCCTACGTGATGTTGCAACATTGCCTGGACATACAATAACAATTTTCCCACCTCTAAAACTCAAAAATCTGCTTTGCTGCGACATTCTATATAAAATTTATGGACATATTGAGGGCAGGATCGAGGCGTCAAAGGAAATAGAGATATATTCCATTGATATTAATGAATCATTTTACATGAGTATAAGTTTAGACAACTATAGACTTTCTGGCCAAATTAAGATTCCTATGGGACACAGTGGCATTGTGGAACCCAAATTTAAGTTAATTGACATTCTTAACAGAGAGCTATTTTTAAGAGTCTCCATACAGTCGTTTCCAGGAAAAGGCATAGCAATATATATTGGCGCTCCGATATGGATTATTAATAAAACAGGCCTGCCTTTGATATTTAGACAAGAGGGAACGAGCCATCCAGCATCTGGACAATTCGATGAACACGAACATGCCAGAGAAGTATCGCCGCTCATGTTTTCCTTTTCCGATCAAGAAGGTTCACCCTTAATCGAGTTTCGCTTGGGAAAAACTTATGGTGAAAACAATCCGGTAAGTAAAATATTAACAGGACTTACTCTTAAAAATTAATTCTAGGAATATTTCGTATTACACACTTTTATAAAGAAAAACAAATGCAATAACCGGATAACTACACAGTGCGGCACGAAAATTATTCAGGGGTTCTAATGTACCAATTCTGTTTAGTTGGAGTCCCTGGGCCACGAAAATATCTTTGGTTTTTCGGGTTACTTCGAAAATTAACTTTATAACGGTAAATGTAGGGAAAAACGGGGTTTGATGGATTTTCAATTGGAAACTCGAATAGCTTCTTTTATTTCTAACGGATTTATATTATTGAATAGAATTAATACAAAAATGTGTATGAGTCATCCATTTTTTAATCAATTTTTTTTTTATTTTTCTCATTTTGGAAGCTTATTTAATTTTCTTCCCCGTAATATAATAACTTCTACGGCTTGATATCATAATTTCATCGTACAGTCCGAAGTCCGTTTTTAAGCGTGTTTTTCACATTTCAACCACTTTAACTCAGCCAATCCTCAACCGATTTACCAAATATATATCTTGTTTGAAAGGAAAAATTCTACTCTTCGAAAAAACAGAGTAATATAAATCGGTTATAAAGTAAATAAGTTATTCGCGTTTCAAATTGAAAATCTCTGAGACTACGTTTTTATCTACATTCACCGTTATAAAACTAATTTTCGAAGTGACCCAGAAAAACTAAAGGTATTTTCGTGTTTCCGTACTCCAACTAAACAGAATTGGTACATTAGAACCCCTGAATAAATTGTTGTTGTTGTTTTGTAGCACAGTGTTATCAACGTAATAAGTTATGTAATGAAATCGCGTAGAAAAATACGCATGTTTCCAACTTTACATGGGTCAAGAATCCAACTTTTTGGAAAAACGTCCATTTCCGTTAGAGAGGAAATTGAAGCTTTGACCAAATTAAATGAAACTTTTCCAAATTAAACGAACCCTTTTCCAATTGTAATGAAGCATTTTCTAATTGGAAAAATTAAAATTTCATTTTTGTCTAAGAAAATATAATATTTCAATTTATTTTTTGTATTGAATATATAAAAATATATTATCAAATAAAGTGAATATAGTGAAATTGCGATTGATTTTTTTATGTGATTAACATAAATAAGCTTTAACTCAGTAAGATTTTGTTACTAATGAAATAAAACAAACTGGGAAGTTATTGACCTTTAAAAATATAGGGCAAAACTAGAAAAATTCTTGCTCTAGCTGCAAGCCGAGAACACCTTCAATAAGTTTAGAATATTATATTATCATCAACAATTGTATTAAAAAAAATATATGTATATATATATACTAGCTGACCCGGCAAACGTTGTTTTGCCTTATCAATATTGCATCAATATATGGTTGGTAAAAAACATTTGCCACTAATTTTATGTCAATAAAAAGTATTAACTGGTATCCCAAATGCAGGCCCAAGCACATAACAAATATTTTTTAATAGAAGATCATGTTTTGTTATTGCTCCAACGTTTTTTTCATTATCTTATATGTCCCTTCTTGAAGGATTCTTAATTACAATGACATTTTGTTCATGTCCAACTGTTCTTTTGATTTTTATATTGAAATCAGTATATAACTCGAAAAATTTTAGATTTGGCATAGAAATTTAGAGGGTTTCGCTCAGTTATAGGTATATTTCATTTTTAAATAAATTGTTAATTAGTTTTCAGATTCCCGTTACAGATTTGTATATGTTTGCTTAGTTTTTGACAGTTATGGGAGAAGAGTTTGGCCAATGTTGACGACGTAGACCGTCTTTTAATTGTAAATGCCTATTTTATATCTTAACTCTTAATCGTGAAATGTTGTAATCGGATTTGCTATATCCTCATATTTTTAACAACTTGATTTTAATTTAACATTTGAGTAAGTTGCAGTTTAATCCTTTATGGCCCAATGTTGCCCATAGGCAACAAAATGTTCTAGAGCTTTTATTTAATACGCGGCAAGTAAATGTATATTTTTGGAATACATATTTTATGAGCTTATTATAGACGACACATATCAAAATTCTAAAAAAATGAATTTTTTTGTTGATATTGGACTTTTATTTATCGGAAATAAGGTACCGTATCTACCGAATGTAACGATGTAGCGACGTCAAATTTTGTTCATATCCTATTTAGGATAGTTACATTAAATCTGTGCATATGTACCCTTACAATTGCGTGTCAATGTTCACTCGAAGGAACATACTCATGTCTTTCTACAACCTATGCTAAATTTATTTCATTCGGGCAAATTTAGTGTCGTCTGCGTACCATGGGACACATTTATGGAAAACGGTGTATAGTAAAATTGATACATAATATTCTGTACGTCACAAAAATGCGACCTGTACTTTGTTTACAATATAACATGGGCAGACAGACAAATTTCGTGCAAATCTAAAGATATAAAGAGCCTTGGTGTACCATTTACATAAACTCGGACGAAAATATATATGGTAGGTATATCGATTTTTTCCCCGAAACTTACCACTCATCATTCTAGGCTCAATTCTGTACGCCATGCCAAATTTCGTGCAAATCGAAGGATATATAGGGACTTTGGTGCACCATTTACATAAAATCGGACGAAAATATATATGTGAGCTATATCTAAAACTGAACCGATTTTCACGAATCTTAGCACACACCATTCTAGACTCAATTAAACACGCTATACCAAATTTCGTGCACTATTTACCTAAAATCGGACGAAAATGTATATGGGAGCTATATCTGAATCTGATCCGATTTTCACGAAATTTAACACACATCGCCCTAGGTTTTATTTAGTACGCTATGCCAAATTTCATGTAAATCGAAAGTTATATAAGGACTTTGGTGCACAATTTACATAAAATCGGACGAAAATATATATGTGAGCTATATCTAAATCTGAACCGATTTTTCCCAATTTCAATAGGGGTCGTCCTTGGGCCATATAAATGAGCTGTGCCAAATTTCATCCAATTCGAATCAAAAATGCGACCTGTACTTTGTTTACAATTTAACATGGACAGACGGACATGCATAAATCGACTTAAAAAGTGATTCTGTGCATATTCTCAAAAGGAACCATGTGTCTATCTCGTTTCCTTTCGCCTGTTACAAACGTATGCACAAAAACATAATACCCTATACCACAGTGTGGTGAAGGGTATACAAATAATACAAGTTTGACAAATATGAAAATAGGATTTCATATCCAACAGCTAAAGAAAATAAGACAAAACTTCAAATATCTGACGTGAATACTAATATGTTAATGATCGCATTATTAGTATTAGAACATACATGAACATATAAATTTTCATATACAATAGTTTTTTCTTGGCAATGACAATCCAATTAATTGTAGAAAATTGACATATTTTGAGAATTTTCCATAATTGACAATTACTTTAAGATATTATACGCTGCCAATTTTCCCCAAAATGTGTCCAAAAAGAACTATGAAGGGATGAAATCATAAAAGTTCGATACAAAACGTGTGGAAATGCTAATATCTTCCAAAATATATTTGCAAAATTTTCGCGGATTTTTCTCAAAATTCTAAGATACGTTTTTACTAGACGTAGGGTAGAAAAACTGAAACTGGTGCTGTGGTTACCGGCATTGTTATTAAGATTTGTAACAATACATATATATATTGTAGTAGAATAGAATAAGGAACCCAGCTATTGTGAATAATAACCGAACTAGTTCATAGAGAATACCAAATACTTACGATCATTTAAAATAACCATTTATGTATACTAGATTTAAGAACAATGGATGCAGTCGTCTATCAACCTTTGTTGACGTTTGACTTATTCGCGCTGGCCGCAATACCTTTTTACACAAAACTACAACAAACCATATACAATCAACAGCTTCATTCAAAACAACAACTATACAACTATTTGTTTCTTGTTATTTATTTCATTATTTCGCCAATTTTAAAATTTTTGAGTGAAATTAATTGAAATTATTTATCCAAATGGATGCAGGTGGACGTCCCCCTCCTCCGCCAACGCCACCACCGCCTATTAGAGATAAAAATAAAAGATCACGCAGTGCTTCTAAGGAAGAAAATGAAAAAAAAAAGTTTCAAAGATGGCAGCGGTTAAGCTGTTAAAAATCTAAATACATATACAACACAATCAACAACCAGCAAAATGGCTATCGAACACAATTATAATTCGAATGAGTCCGTCATGTATCCAGAACATCATCCAGGTCCTTTTTCGTGCTTGCCTCATCCGATACACCAGTCAGTTCTAGAAGGAAAAACTGCGAACTTCACCTATATGCGAGCCTTATTAAAATCAATATAAAAAGTTATGTGTGTAAATGCATTGGATATAATTTATTCAGATTTACATTTAATAATATAGATTCGGCAAACTCATTTGCAAACAACCCCAAGGTAAAGGAAATTGGATTAAAGGCATTTATCCCGGAAAGATTTGTTCAAAGGTTTTATGTGATTAGGAATATCCCAACATGTATCTCGGCTTCAACCATTAGAGATGAAATAAAAGACAATGATATCGATGTGGTTTCAGTCTAAATTGGCATAATATTTGATGGAATACCCACAGAAATTCATATGTCTGGTGCTAAAATAACTCCAGATTTATATGTGCCCCCAGTAGATTGTGCAAGAACTGTGGACGTTTAGGCCGCATTGCCATTCACTGCAGCTCAAAGAAAAATGCTATAAGTTTAATAAACTTATAATAGCCCTTCGAATTGTGAAAATGGAAAATGTATGGATTGTCGATCCACATCTGTATGTAAAGATAAATGCAATTCACCTAAGTGCATACTGTGTAATGCAACAAATCATACTGCCGGGGATTATAATAAATGTCCTGTATGGAAAAAGGAAAATAATATAAGGAGCATAATGGCTTTAACAAATCTTTCGAGAAATGAAGTGATTAAAAAATATCCAGAATGTGAAAATTATTATCAAATTCTGTCCGAAAATGAATACAACAA